ACAATGTTAAATAGGAGTGGTGATAAAGGGCATCCTTGTCTTTTTCCTGTTCTCAAAGGGAATGTTTTCAGCCTCTCTCCATTAAGAATGATATTGGCTGTTGGTTTTGCATAGATGTCCTCTGTTATCATTCTTTTAATTTCAGTTGGGTCTGTTGTGATATCACCTATTTCATTTCTTATTCAGGTCATTTGTTTCCTCTCCTGTTTTCCTTTTGTCAGTTTGGCCAATGGTTCAGCAATTTTTTTTATCTTTTCAGAGAACCAGCTTTTGGTCTTGTTAACTCTTTCAATTATTTTTCTATTCTCTATTTATTTTAATTCTGCTCTAATTCTTATTATTTCCTTTTTTCTGGCACCCAAGACCTTCTTTCACTGCTCTCTTTCTACTTGTTACAGTTGTAGGGTTAATGTTTTGATTTTGGCCCTTTCTTCTTTTTGGATGTGTGCATTTATTGCTGTAAATTGACCTCTGAGCACTACATTTGCTGTTTTCCAAAGGTTCTGGTAGGATATGTTTTCATTCTCGTTTGATTCTGTGAATTTCTTTATTCTGTCCTCAATTTCTTCTATAACCCAGTAGTTTTTGAGCAAGGCATTGTTCAGTTTCCATGTGTTTGATTTTTGTTTTTCCTTGCTTTTTCTGTTATTGATATCTACTTTTATGGCTTTATGGTCAGAAAAGATACTTTGTAATATTTCAATGCTTTGGATTTTGTTAAGGCTTGCTTTATGCCCTGGTATGTGGTCTGTTCTAGAGGATGTTCCATGTGCGTTAGAAAAGAAAGTATACTTGTCTGCTCTTGGGTGGAGTCTTCTGTGTATGTCTGTGAGATCAGATTGGTTGATTGTGGCATTTAGATCTTCTATGTCTTTATTGAACTTCTTTCTGGTTGTTCTATCCTTCACCAAAAGTGGTAAGTTGAAGTTTCCTACTATAATTGTGAAGCTGTCTGTCTCTCTTTTTAGTGCTGTTAGAGTTTGTTTGATGTATTTTGGAGCTGTGTCAGGTGCATAAATATTTATTATGGTTATGTCCTCCTGGTGTATTGACCCTTTAATCATTATGTATTGTCCTTCCTTATCCTCTGTGGTGGATTTTACTTTAATGTCTATTTTGTCAGAGATTAATATTGCCACTCCTGCTCTTTTTTGAGTGTTGTTTGCTTGATGTATTTTCTTCCATCCTTTGAGCATTAATTTGTTTGTGTCTTTAAGTCTAAGATGTGTCTCTTGTAGGCAGCATATAGATGGATCATGTTTTTTTTTATCCATTCTATCACTCTGTCTCTTTATTTGTGCATTTAGTCCATTTACATTCAGCATAATATTGATAGGTACGAGGTTAGTGCTGTTGTTTTGACGCCTTTTTTTTATGTTGTTGACAGTTTCTTTGTTCCGCTTAATTTTCTGTGTGAGTCGTTGTTCTTTATGTATTTTCTTTTCAAATCTTTTTCATTGTTGATTTTGTGTTTGCTGAGTCTTTATGTTTTTTATTTTGATGTGTAAGATTGTTAGCTTCCTTTATGGTTACCTTGATACTTGCCCCTATGTTTCTTATTTTGAACCACTCTTTTATTTCTTTATATCGCCTTGACTTCATCTCCATATAAAAAATATATTTCTATGTTTTTCAGTCCGTCTTTTTTTTTTTTAATATTGCCATCTTTTACAGATTGACGTCTCTATTTCCCTATTTTCAGTGTTTTAGCTTTTATTTATTTTTGTGACTTCCCTAGCTGGGTTGATATCTGGTTGCTCTGTCCTGCGTTCTAGTCTTGGGTTGTTATCTGATATTTTTGATTTTCTAACTGGAGGACTCCCTTTAGTATGTCTTGTAATTTTGGTTTGGTTTTTGCAAATTCCCTAAACTTTGGTTTATCTGGAAATGCCCTAATTTTGCCATCATATTTGAGAGACAGTTTTGCTGCATAT